TCTTATGAAGATGATGATGATAATTTTTTAGATACCCATAATACCTTTTTAAAAAATATTTATGATGATTTTTCTTCGATTAACAATCTTTTAGCTATCAATCCTACGATTAATTTGACCTCTTTATTTATGAAGACGAATGATGTCAGCTCCGTCAATATGATGCATGATTACCAACCTCCTTTAAACCGGAGTATTTGTTGGAATTGTTATCAAATTTATAAACATTGATATTGCACAGCATGTAAGAAACTCAAGGGCAAATGCAATTGCGTTTTTATATGTAGGCTCACCTGACCTACTGGTTCGAAGGATAAGTTTGACAACTATACTCAATATGAGAAATGCAAATAGCATATCTCTGATATCACAAATCTCGATCATGATTGTAAGGGGATGTTAAAGGGCTCTGTCTATATCTTATATCTTAATGAACAATGGTATAATGAATTTCATATTGCAGACCAAAAACATATGAAAAATTGCTATTAATGTCAAAAGAATGGTCATTTCGCGTATGAATGTCCCGAAGTTGTTTGTTATCGTTGTGATTAGAGTGGACATTTGGCTCGTGATTGTCGAGTGCAGTATTCAGTAACTCATAACTAATACATGTATATTAATATTTTACACAATTAAAAAAATATCTAATCAGTGCTCGTCACCGATTAGAATTTTTTTTATGTAACAACCAGCATAACAATGTTTTCAAATCAATTCAATATCGCTATCGATGGGTTATCTGCTACTAGTAAATCCACAATCAGCCAGAAATTCACTCACCGGCACAATTTTAAGTTTATTGATACTGGTCGTTTTTATCGCAATTATACAAAATATTATATAGACGTTAACAATGATAATTTAGCTTTATTTCTTGATTTTTTTATTAATAACCTGGATGCTTTAACAATTTTAAACACGTTTGATGAGGATGATGATCAGGATAATAAACTTCTTATTGGTAATAGAGCATCTTTACTTTCTAAAAACGAGGCGTTGCAAGGCATCATCAACACAATAATCCAAAAAATGGTAGTTGGTAAGAAATACATTGTTGTAAGTCATAATGCTACTACCAAGATTCTACCTGATGCTGAAGTGAAGATCCTATTAGATTCTGATTTTGAAACTCAGATCCAAAGACGATCTCAACAAACCAATCTTGATCCGCTTACCATTTTTTTCGATCTTTTACAACATGACAAGGAATCATTTAACCTGATCCAGGTATACTTGTTGGCAAAACTAAAAATCTTCAAAATCCCACCCAAACCCAAATCCTAATTGGATAAACCCAAATCTCAAACTGGACAAATCTCAAACCCAAAACCCAAACTCATTCCAAATCCCAAACCTATTCCAAATCCTAAATCCCAAACCTATCTCAAATTCCAAATCCTAAATCCCAATCTCCAAATCCCAAACCCAAGTTCCAAATTCCAATTCCAAACCTTGTTTTTGGAATCTGAAGTTTTCTGAAGAAACTCTTTTTTTTTTTTTTTACTAAACAAACCTCCTTTTAACTTCTAAGTAAATTTGTAGAAGGTGTTTTGCAATCAGTATAACAGTTAAAATATTAAAATTGGCCTAGTAAATCACAAGATATTAGTATTTTAGTCTTCATGACTATATATTTTTTTTATATAAATAAAGAAAAAAAACATATAGTCACAAAGACTAAAGTGCTTATACAGTATCTCATGATTCACTAGACCAATTTTAATAGTTTAACTATCATTCTGATTGCAAGACATTCTCCTTTACAACTTTATTTAAAAGTTAAAAAGAGGTTTATTTAGTAAAAAAAAAGTTTTTCTTTAGAAAACTCCAGATTTCAAAGGTTTAAAATTTGGAATTGGGATTTGGAATTGGGATTTGGAATTTGGATTTGGGATAGGTTTGGGATTTGGGATTGGGATTTGTTCAGTTTTGCCATATAGGATTTTTAAATATATATGGACAAACCTATTTGTCCAGGTTTGTCCATAGCCCAATCCCAAATCTCATAGGTTTTGCCAACAAGTATAGATCCAGGAGGCATCTAAGGTGTCCACAATAATTAACACTACTTATTTGGATATCGAACAGACGATAAACAAGCTTATTTTAATTTCATTTTTATAGCTAATTCGAGCAAACACCAATTATTATCTTTTTTATTGTTTAGTATTTTTTTTTGTATTATTTTGTAAATTTTACCTCTAACCAGTGCTTTATAGACACTGGTTAGAGATTTTTTGATTCATTTTTTAATCTTACAATTTAAATATATATTCAAAAATGACAAAACAAAAGCATCCTATCGAAGAGGTTGAGGAATCAACATCATCTTTGCCTTCTAGTAAGCGCGTGGCCACGACTGAGAGCGAGCTTAATTACTATTTGAATTGTAAGGGTGCTGATATTACCAAGGATGTTGATCTGCAGGCTTATGAGAAAACTTACCCTAATGAGAAAGAACATTTAAAATTTATGCATGATCTTTTATGCTATCAGCATGCACATGTTGAGGTGTTTAGAGAAATTGAGAAATGATTTTCTACTAACAGGAATCATTCTAAATGTTTCAAAGTTCAAATTTGGAAGAAAAATAATTTTGTGACCATTCAACGAGTGGCCACAGGCTTAGAACGTCAGTTGGAAGGCCAGATTTCTGATCTTGAAGATCATATTGACGAAAAATTCCTCAAAGCGAGAGAAGCTGATTCTTAATAAATCTATTTCAATTTTTATCATAATTAATTATATTATATCATTATCATTTTATAAATAAAATTATTATTATTTCTATCTGGTTCTATGTGAACCTGATAGAATTTTATTTGCGTAATCAAAAATACCACCATTACTAAGAAACAATCTTCTTGATTTTAAAATGAACGAATATAATTTTCATATAGATAGTCTTCGCTATAATTCACAAACCATACTTGTTCATCGAAGCATGCGAATCAGAAATCGTTCCAGGCCAATTTACTGCTTTACTCGAAAATATCACCGTCAACAATATCAGCCTGACTACAAAACTTTTTCATATGACAATCATGAATCTTATAATGAGGCACTTCGATCAGAAACTCCTTCTACCGATGATCATGAATCTGATAATGAGACACTTCGATCAGAAACTCCTTCTACTGATTCATCAACTCATGCGTCTGACAAAGAATTTGTCGAGCCAAAACCGTATTACTGTAAAAAGTGTTGTTCATTCAGGAAGACTAAGTATTGCACACTATGCCAGAATTCATTGTTCGATGTTCAAGATTTTGATTCAAATTCATATATTCATCACCAGGATGGATCTCTTGACTCTAATGGTGTAAGATTTACTGATCGAATTTTAACGTACAGCGATAATGAGATCGTGATAGATGATTCTGATTAACTATCATCAAGTAATCGACATAAATTTCTAATCAGTTTGATAAACCCGATTAGAAATTATTTGATTTATTTTTTACCATTATGAATCAGTATCTTCAAGTTCAACAAGATCACGAAAATTATACAAATTTGATCGAGAAGTACACTACGTATCTCAACACTCTTAATTTAATGAAAAATGATAGAATTTCTGTGGATCAATCTACTCTAGAGATTATTACCTTATTAAATGTAACTAAAAATTTAAAGAATCAAGCTCATCAGAAGCTTGATGTGTATAAGGCCAGTAAGTGCAATTTCAGCCTTACCGTATTGGTTTCTGATTCAAAGAATATTTGGTTATCTCAATGCATCAATCCTCTTAAAGATCATCATCTTTTGTGGCAAGTGACTAGAGGGTGTGTAGAATTTGGTGAATTATTTATCGATTGTGCAAAACGTGAAGCCGAAGAAGAGGCCGGGGTCGTTATCGATGAACTTTTTTATATTACTAAGGTTTCGGGCTTTCATAAGTTTCCTGATGGGAAAGAGTGCCTTTACAACTGCGCTATTTATTTTTCCTTTATTGGTAAGCAAATTTCTAAGCATGCCGAGCCTACGAATAATAGTGAGTGGCAACCTTATGATGTTGCCAAGTTTGCCAAGCTAACTGACCTTACACCATCCCTTTCTGAGAAGCTCAAGGAGATTGTTGAGGCTATCAATATCAAGTTTCGTTCCCGTGCCAGGGCCATATCTGCTAAGAGAAAAAAAGAAATTGTTGTGGAGGAAAATATTGAAAAGAAAAAAAAGATAGATAGTGATAGCATATCGGATAATGAATCACTTAGATAGCGAGTAATTTTATTTTTTATTTATTGTATTCTTCATTCAGTCTATATTGACCAAATAGATTTTTAACTATATAATTTGTTTTTTTTTTAGTTACATACTTTTGATGCGGTTACCGTTAAGAAATATATTAGGTTTAAACACTGCGATATTTGGAAAACATATGGTTTCACTTCACAGAAATTCATCCCACTGCGCCAACAACAAATTCTACGACGCTTAGAATTAATTCCACGATGCCCAAAATTAATTCCACTGCATCAATCACTCAAGTCTAATTGGTCCCACAAATTTTATCAATTGCAAAATTCTAATTTTTACGTCATCAACATTATTAAAAAGAATTTCACAAGATATACAAATGGTGGTAGTTAATAAAAAGCCGCAAATTGCAAAGAAGATGAGGATAGAAAATAGCTAACTAATCTATTCAGTTGGAGACCGAATAGATTTTTCTTTATGTAACTTAAGATGTCGCAAGATTCATTATTCGAACATTGTATTCTATCACCCTTTGGAATTCATTGCGATTTTTGCGATTGGATTTATCTAAACATTCTTAATGGGAAGAAATATTTTACCTACATCTTTACCAAGATCATAAAGAAATATTTGCAAATCTTTTCAAGAAATATTTCTCTTTGATTATAACCAAATCTATAGCAATTGGATCTCTGGAAAACATGATTACAGGATGCCACTTTTTACTTCTTAAAGTACAGGCATTTGTTCATTCAATATAATATTCTTTTCTTTGATCTTGATCAGATCGATTCTCCATGCTCTTTTCAACGGCTTATTATAGCTATGCATTCTCTTCGATTAAAGATTGTACCCTGATTTCTAGAGAAAAAGACCAGGATATTAATGGTCTTACAAACATGTTAACTACTATTCTCACTATTTAATTCTATTTTTATTAATATTATTATAAATAACTTTAATCTATTCAGTCTCATGTGACTGAATAGATTTTTAGCTATACGCAAATGATTAATGATGACAACTCTAGAAAAGGTAAGATGGCCGTGCCTTTTACTTAGTGAATATGGGATTTTGAAGTTACACTGTCTCAAATTGGAAGAAATTCATTCTGAGATATTTCTTTTCACGAGAAATACAAGGATGAGTTTTATTTTCAGTGAAAACCGAGCTGGTCTGCAAGTTATATCTCGGTGAAGTCAGCCATTACGTGAGAGATAAATAGGAATCTCTCGCTAACCATTTTTTTTTTAAAATTTAATCCAAAATTCAAATCATAAAACCAGCCACGATTTCAAATTTACCATTGCCAAGATCTTGAATGAGCAGAGTATTTTATCATATGGAGTTAAAGTGAGGCAGGGTGATGGGAGTGTCGATATTATTGCGAACTATGAAAGAAGATTATTATAATTCAATATAAATCTATTGAATCATCGATTTTGTTAAAATATATGAAGGATTTTGAGGCAACTCTTTTCAAGTTTCCCGATGATTCCTTGAGAATAATTGTATATGATAGCGATCGTATGAAATTGACTAATTTATTGACTAAGCAGGCAGTTACTTGGATGAAGACAATGGAAAAAAATATGGTAATATCAAACGAGAAGTGTTTAGTTTTAGATATAAAAAATTATTTCAACCAAACTAATACAATTGATGATTCGAATAATCTTATTGAGTTTAAAAAGTTAAATGCTTCATCGTTAGACATGTTTGGGATAAAAGTGGAAAATGTAAATATTGAAAGTATTTTAATAAAAAAAAAGCAACGATTTAACCCTTATTAAGTCTGCTCAGTGCTGTA